TATTGCTCATGTAATAAATCAAACAGTGGCACGACGCCCACCTCTTTCCATTTTTGGAAACGCTCCCTTATATACACTTGCTTCTATATATGATATGAATAACCAATAGGAAGCTCAGAATGTCCCCCTAGTGGCTTTCTCAGCCATTTTAATGGGCCTGGCACCATTTTTTCTTTTGAACCAATATTTCAATGAGATAGGGTGTGTCTAGTCTGCTCAAAATTTCATATTTTTTTAGACTAACAAAATACTTTTTGTTCTATTTTATAATTTATATTTACCATATGTATACATACACATTTTCCTCAGTTTTTAACATTTACAGGATTTGGTGTACTTTATAAATGATATGGTAAAGCAAATGCCTTTATATTTACAGTTCATGTACAAAAACATTATTTTAAGAAGTTGGAATAATGTTGCTGATAAAGTTTAAGCATGGAAAATTGTAACAAAATTTAATTCATGTCCACAAAGTTGGTAACAATGGTATTACTGATCTTGCCTGAACAGGTACTAGTGATATAAATAAAATTAAAAAATGTTCATAAATCCTACAAAAGCTATTTTTTTTATATTAATTTCCAATGTTTCTATGAATGCTACGGAACAGTATTAAAAGTGCCTGATCTTCGCATCTATAGAAAGCAATGGATTAAAAGTTTTTAATTGTATTTTGTACAGTAGATCAATACAATTACTTTGTTTTATAATTATAAAATGATAACTAAGTTGCTAATCAATTAACAAATACCTCAAACTAAAGTGTGTACAAGAACACACATGGTTTCCACACCTTGGGCAGAATGGAATTCCAGACTTTTTCTAGACCTTTCCTTAACCAAAATATGTTATTCCCTGACCACTTGATCTATGTTTTTAATGTATCATTGTACTAAATGTGAAATTGCAAAACATCATTCATGTGCTGTTTAATAAAGGTGAGACAGACTGCATGCTAAGAATCAATCTGCTTAAGTGTCATCTCGCAAAGTTTTAATATGATTGGTCATGTCATTCTCAAATTATTGATACTTTATCAGAACATACACAACAAATCAGTTTATCCATTTGTTTATGATAATGCATAACGTATTCTGTAAGTAATTAATTAATTGGTTTGAACATAATAATGTCGCTTTGATTATGCAAATATTGACAACATACAGAATCATAAACTGATATGTTTATTTTACATAAAGTTACTTTTTGTTTATCACTTGCATACTCACTCTTACTAGGTTGAACCCTAATATTTATTGATTGATGAGGCATGCTATTAATAATGTACACTGTATTCAACATGACTGATTTGAATATTCATACGTTTCAATAATTCAGATGTATTATTTTATAACAAATGTGTTTGGATTAACAAGGCTGTTGCAGCATCGATGAAGACACTTAGATTTAATGTTTACAATTTGTAATCTGTTCATAAACTTCTCCAAAAACCAAAAGCACATATATTCACTTACAATAACATATGTTAAGCTATGAAGTTTTATTTAAGGTATAATAGTGCTTATGCTATTAACTCTCAACTTTGAAAACTGTGAAAACTAAGATGAGTTTTGATCAAAGAACTGACTTATACCTTAACAACTAAGAATTTAGTGACTCCCATACTTAGTGTGGTCCAAAAGCTAATTGTCCCAAAGCTACATAATAATTCTTTTAAATTTTCACCTGTTTCACATTAATGTAACAATATTAAATATGATCCTAAGTTTGGAAAGATCTTTTAATGTGTTAGATTTTTTGAATTAATGCCAAATGAGCTTTAACCCAGAAAAAGAAACTGTTATAAAATAAAACACAATTGTATGCTATATTTAATAACAGTACCTATTATGCCAATAAAAAAAAAGAAAACTTAAAACATGAATGAAATATCACTAGTATGGCCAAGGCACCAATTTTATTCTAAACAAGACAAAGCATTAACACATACCAAATATTTTCTTCAATTGGTAGAAACAAAAAAAAATTGTTTTATTATCTCCACTGACAATGCATGTTTCTGTATTGTAAATAAAAAATTTCATTCTATATTATAGTATTATATAAGAGAGAGCTACTGAAAATACACCACCTTCATTGTTGAATGGAAATGTATATACATCTCAAAGTTACTACTTTGGTTATTAAAAGTTCTCGGCCATGTGTATGTTTGAAATAATTCATGCATTACACCATAATTTATCCAAGAACTAAATGTTATAAAATCAGACCACACTGATAATAAGAAACATACCTGGTAAAAAAGTCTAGCAGGCAATTCAATAAGTTTAAAAGCTCTGGCAAATGACATTAAGTCATATACACAAGTTTCAAAATAGAAAACAAACCTTCATCTGTATCTCCATTTTCTAGTCTGTTATTTACATCAATTTCACAAACAAGATCTCTATCCTTAACATCTGATTCAGAGCTAATATCAATGCCTTGAGATGTTGATAGCTGACTTTGGGCTCCAAGATCTTTCTTTGCCCTCTTTTTCTTTTTCTTCTTATTTTTATTATTTGGCTGTAAAAAATATTAACTGAAATATATTTCTAATCCTGGTAAGCTTTTTCATAACACACACACACACACATACATATATATATATATATATATCTAGAGAGAGAGAAGGTGAGTAAAATTAATATTAAACCAAGTTCATAACCATGTTGTTCTAATTGCAGTTTCAACGTTACAACTTTTAATATATTAAGTGTATCTTCACAAAATTTGACAGACTTTCAGCAGAAATAATAAATTTCATACACAAAAAATTAGATTTGCTAAATGAGAATTTGTCAGAGAATATACAGAGTAGTTTTGATTACAAGTCTGAGTGCAAAGTGATTTTCAAGATAAGATTAAAAATACTTTTACTCATCTGAAAATTTTCAAATTTCATTTGTGTAATCTCTAAAACCTCCTAAATAATTATAAAACATTTTTCAGTAAAACTTTATATTCTATCTGATATTTTCTCTAACCTAACTCTACATATGAAGTTGGTTAATTTGACTGACATCTTAACAACCCCGCCCCCCAAATTGAAATAAATCTAAATCACCTTTTTTCTTTCTAGAATGGCTTTAAATTGTAACAAGAAACTACATTTGTTTATCTAAAACAGCTTTAAGCATGTAACAATCTACACCTACTTATACTTGAATTTTATTGTTTTATTGCCTTTTGAACCATGTCAAAAGTAATATTCACCTTATCAATATTTGTAAATGAACTGGCAAATGTGGAGCTCATGAGTGTAACTCATGAAAATTTGTTATTATTATTATTATTCTAGATTTTACCTAATCCTAACCCAAAAAGCTTCTAATTTTTACATTTTAGTTACTTTTATGATAATAAATAAAGAATACACATGAAAACAAGAAATAAGGGCAAGTGTTACAATTCTAACACTAGGGAAAATTGAAGATTGTTTTAATAATGCCTTAGAAAATTAAGAACTTAAAACTTATATAATTTTAAAATTTGGATTATTAGCTATGTTTGTATGCCAAGTTTATTTATACACCATGGTAAGAAAGTAGGTCAATTAAATTTTGAATGTAACTCACTGACCCCCCCTAAAAGCTTATAGATGAGTAGAGAATAGTTCAAAGATATTGGTTGGACATAATTCTTCCCCAGTTTGGCTGAATACAAGTATTATTAGTGATTGTATAGAAAATGAGTTATTGTAGATATTTACTTCTTGAAATACAATTTGTCTTTAAACGTACATAGATACATGGGAGAAAACATGAAGATATAGTTACAATAAATTAAGTGTACAGAGACTGATGGAGGCAAAAACTTGATACCTTAAATTTATTAACATTTCCTTTGCAAATCCACTCTTTCAAAGCTTCAGAGGCACCATCTAGACATTAAAAAAAAATTAATTTCAAAACAATGAATATTTGTAACTCAGTTTTTGAAGAAAAACAAAATTACAAGCCTCATATTATTAAATTAAATTTTTTCTTTATTTAGGTTAGTAATATCATTTTTTATTTTCTAACAATAGTAAATGTACATCTTCTATTCTGAATTAAAGAAGCTATGATTTATTCAAATAGCTTATTGAATACAAATTTCAACTCACATTGTGTAAGTGCATAGTTTATTCATTGAAAAAGCTATAGGGATGAAATAATTTTTTTTGCATCCTAAAAGGAGAACAAATGCTAACGTAGCACTGCATTTGCAGTTTAATATACTACGTTAACATATGTACACTAACTGATAACAACCAATAAAGTGAAAATCCTCAGTTAGATATATGCATTAGTCAGCTGAACATTAAACCAAAATTTTCTGCCAAATTTGTTCAACTTTTTAAAGATAAACATTTAAGCATGTCACATATTTTCTCACTAATTTAATACACCACATGGACATATAAAATTTAAGGCCCACTCTCAAAGATCACCATATATAACTAAAAGTAATGTAAATTTTTTCTGAAATATTTGTTTTTAGAGCTGTTTTTAACTACTAAGTACTTTGAACTTAGATGTAAAAAAAATGTAACTGTTAGCCATTTTCATCTAAGACTAACATATGCTTGGCTTGCACAGCAGTGATTGACTTTAGTGTATACTTATATGTTGTGTGCAACATGCCTAATCAGCTACTATGTGAAGAAGCAAAGTCAGATATGCAATATTACTGATCAATCATGAATACCCAAACTTCAAGATACACTGATAATACAAAAACATTAATAAGTAATGAAAGCTGAAACTGCAATAAAAAAAAATATATATAATTTCGTTTTCAGATTATGGGGAAAAAAAATTTAAATATTCATTTATCAGTATGCCATAAGTCTTATTTTGGTTAAATGTTTACAGAGATTCTACTGAAGTATCGTTTACTCAAAGCTGTATTAATAATTTTGGCCTCATGTGAACTAACATCTCAGGTCTACAAGCTTTTATATCTTTGTCCTATTTTTGGAATAAACATAACAATGCACAAAATCTTTGAAAAACTTAAAATAAAGGATAAATTACTTTATTTCAACATCTACATATAAAATTTTTAGCAACTGCTAAATTGTTAAACTTTTTTAGGAAATAGAGAGAACCTGGAACATGTATCAAGAAATATCACAATAAAACTGTAACATCTCATTACAGTTTATTCTTACATAGACTAATATGGATTTGTAATAAAATGAGTATATTGGTATATTAACATTTTATTTTGCTTTGTCTATTGAAGAACACTAAAAGGGTTTAAGTTTTGTTACCTTTGGAATCACCTTAAAGAATGAAATATTTAGGCTAATGGATTTTTAGGTTGACTAAAAGCTGGTACAAGTACTTAAAAAAATTATTTTTTCTTCTTGTTGCACTTACTAGTGTTATTTCAGTGTACTACTAATGCCATTTTTGAAAAACCATATACCAATGCACATAAAAAAAGAAGAAAAAAATTCAAGTATTATGTTTGATTGCAAAACATTACCTTCCATAAAGGCATTAATGGTTTGTGTCACATCATAATCATAATACTGGAGCACTAGTACAATATCATCATTACTTCTGGATGATACAACTTCCTTCACTCGGGATATCTGGAAAGCAATGCATCTATAATTGATTACTGGTTCAAACCAACACTATGAAAAGATGTTTATGTTTATTTAATGAATATATAATCAGTCAACTAGGTTAGATGATGCCTCAAGGTTATTCTACCATAACACATCCCGTACATGTTGTATGCAAGGTATTCAAGTACATTGTACTTGTTCACAATGAAAAAAATAAAATGATAGCAATGGACATAATTTCATTGAAGATCACTGACTTTCACAATTTATTTTTCCCTAATCATTTCAAAGTCGTGCATGATGATTGAAGGTATACCTTTTAAAAACATATGGGTTCTTGGGTTTCTTTTTTCCAGCATAAAATTTTCATAGTCAGTCCTAAATCTTTCACTGTAACTTATTAGAAAATGACACCATCATAGCTGTGGAGTCTTAGCATTAATCTTGTCTTCACCTTATTGAAGAAATTTAAAAATCTACCTACCCATCGAACATTCTAGGCTGGGCATGGCAAAGATGTTTTTAATTATTGCTTATAATAAAATTGTTATTGCAGATATTTGTTCATAGAGCTGGGCGATTAGTGGAATTTGCTAATCATTGAGCTCATTTGATTATATTCAATTAATCAATTATTCTCACACAAGTCTTGGCCAACTGGAATAATTGAAAACAATAATAACTGGAAACACTTGTTTTGTTTAATCTACTATTTTCATGACATTAACTGATTTAATTATAATTTTGATTAATCAATTATTTCAAATGATACTAATTGATGCTCATATGTAATAAGTTATACCATTTAATCACGTTAATCATCCAGCTCTGTTTGTACATATACTATGATCTGAGATAGCACTTGGTACTTTTTAATCACTTGACAATTAATCAAAAAATATAAAAATGAAAAATTATTTTGCATATTTGCCTATATTCCACTACCACTAATGATGTTGGAAATAAAAAACCGGAATGATTCATGCATATTTTAGAGGTAATGCAACTTGAACACTTCAGTATCATTATACACCATAGGGAAGGACAAACAAAATATTATTATGGTTTTTTATTCAGTAACAAATACAAAGCTACAAAAATCACTAGCAAACTGAATGAAAATTTTAATAGTATCCTGCATATCTGAATAGCATATAACTATAATAATAATATAACAATTTATCATATAATTTATAATGTTTCTTTATGGGGGTTGGAAATGTCTTTTGGCGAAGTTTGACTGTGCAGAGAAGATATTGCTTTTGATATTTGTCCTTAATGATAAAAAAGTTAAATGTTTGAATTAGAACAATACTTCTCTCTACACAGTCATTGTGATGTCATCTGGCATGATGCTGGATCGCTGCCTCTTAAATCTAAATACCAAATGGTACATGATCTCATCATATTTAATTATAAAACACCATACATAATAATATAACAAACTTAGGAGATCATGCAACAGTATCATTTGCTAATTGATAAACAAAGGGCAATTAAGAAAATTAACTGGAGAAGTAAACTTGTGTCAAATTTCTTCAAACTTGCACCACTCTTAAATATTTATGTATTTAGTTCAAAATTCAGTCTGAGGTCTGTCTCCATATAAGAAATGAAAAGATGCATCAGGAGTTCTCATTTATACCGTTTCGTTTTTTACCATATATGCATGAACCACCCTACTGAACAGTCAACTCAAGGTTAAGATGCAAAGCAATAATGCATCTATGAATTCGCACAATAATTTTAATATAAATATTTTTCATCTTTGAATTTGTTTTTTTTGTATACATACATACATATATATATATATATTTGTGTGTGTGTGTTAGCATACAATGAAGTGTGTTTACTATTCAACTGTCAACAAGATAGCAGTAATAAAAATCTGATTTGACTGTGATTGTAATTCACCTAAGGATTTTTTCTCTATTGTTATAAATAAGAAATTTAATAGTTTTACAATACTTCCATATAAACTGAGGCTCTAGAACTTCACTTACCATTTCTTTCAACTTCTCTTTGTCATGATGCTGTTGGTCAGAAGCTAAAGCTCTATTGGTACGAGAATCATACAGCACACTTTCTGTAAACAAAAAATACTTCATATTGTACAACTGGAAAAGTTTAGCATTCTAACTTACTTTTGTATAGTTAAACAATTTTTTTTTTTCAGTGTGTGTGTGTATGCATGTAGTGTTACATTTGTAAAATTGCACATTATATGAAAATGTGCAAAACAATATGACCAACATATTTTTCAAATTTATGAAAAGCATAAAGGTTGAATTTTCATACTTTATGATAGTTGAAAATTTATCACTACATTTAGGAATACTGAATAAACATTTTGAAAGGATTTTATAAATGCTTTGTAGTATCTGCAGCTGATTATGACAAATTTCTTCTTATTAGAACAATAAATAAAACACAGATGCTTTTATATATTAAAATATGTTCTGCAAACAAAATGACAGGCATGTTATAGGAGTCCACAACAATGTGCCACATTTAATAGTTTTTCTTTAAAAATAATTGTGCTGTTCCTTCACCTCTAATAGAACATGACTCTGTCAAGTACCATTTTGCATGTTTACTGTCTCAAAAGTGGTTTTAATACAAAAATAATTCGAAATAAGTCTCTATTAAATACCATTGCATCCTTCAGCTTCTATTAAATATTCTATGATGTTAAGTACCATATAGAGAAGACAAACTGTACAATTACAGTCCCAACAATTAGAATATAATGCTTCAGATAGTGTTTATAAATACATTAATATACTAATAACTGCAATTTATGTTTTTCAAGATTTCCTAAACACTACAACAGTCAATGATGAAAAAAAAAATTGTACTGTGAACAATCAGGTTTCAATACCTGTGATGGGCTGAGCATAGATAACCCTGCATGTAGTTTGAACTTAACAATCATAATGGCAATGTTTCACAGAATTATGGCAAATCACTATAGGAATATTTTGATTACTGGATAGTTGGAAAAATAATCAAAAACGGTAATAATTGGAAACACTAACTGATTAGTTTATTATTTTCTTGACGTTAAATGATTTAATTGTAATTTTGATTAATCAATTATTTTATGTGAACACTAATTGACATAATCATTGTTTAATGTAATTGATTATATTGATTAATTGACTTAATTACCCGGCTCTACTTCTGTTAGGGCTAAAATTGCAGTTAGCTTAAAGTTAGGATTAGCCTATCAAATTCAAAAATTAAATATAGGCATGGCATCAATGGTACAGCTCAAAAGTGTCTGTTGTACTCGTGTTAATTATACAATTACAATACACCTTGATCAAACTTTATTTATCAAGGCTCATGATGAAAATACAAAAAAGAAATTTATTATCTTGCACCAATGAAGTAAACTTTACCTGAAAGAAAACATGAAGTAAGCTATTTAAAAGAAACCACATTAAATTAACATAACTGTATGAATAGACCTATATAACTTACCTTATGTACTGAAATGCAAATAAAAATGTGTAAATTCAATAAATCCAAAAGAACTTATCATAAATTAACATAACTAATAGACAGCAAAGGACAATTTGGTCCATCAAGGCAGTCCTTGCACACTCACCCTTGGGAAAAGTAAAAATTTAAAGCCACTCTTTACTTTTTTAGGAAACCATTGATTCTCATTTTAAACTCTTATAAATTCATTTAGATTTTAGAGTACCATGCTCAGTCTTGGGCTCCTTACCTCAGGAAGGACACTGACTTGTTACAGAGGGTTAATAGGAGGGGTGCTAGGATGATACCTGGAATGGAAAGGTTGTCAAGCAAGGACAGTTTAAGATCTGTGAAATTTTCTTAAAAATAAAGGAAGAGTTAGAGGACATCTAATTGAGAAGTTTGAAATTGGTTAGGGAATTGATAGTATTGATGCATTAACTTTATTTTTTCATACTTAATAGCGAACACAAATATAAATTTTGGCAGGGTAGGAATCATCTTAAGCTAAGACAGTTATTTTTATAACAGGGTGGTGGGCCTATGAAATTGGGTGCCATCATTTACAGTTTGTATTTTAATGAACTCTCCTGAAGAAGCTGTAAAGTAAAATATTGAGTGTCCAATTAATGTAAAATAACAAATTTGGTATTATAAGGTTGTTCATTTCTAGTATTCAAACTCCAAAATAATAATGCACAAGAGTATATACAGGCATTTCTCAAAATACTTCAAATTGACAAAATTTTCCTTATTCTTGTACCCATCCTTTTAACAATTACCAAAGCTGGCACAAATATTGTACTCAATAAAACTTGGAGAAAATACAATTCAAAAAGATGCTATATTACTAATCAGTGCACCTGTTCTTAATTGGGTGTCTTGTCTGAATCCAGCACTTAAAGTGAAAGATTTTTTTTGCTTATCATTCAGTGAGCATGGTAAAGGGTGCTTTAAAGAAGTGTAAGAAACAGAGAAAAGTCCAACATTATGTTTAAAGGTAGAAATTAAACCTCTCTGCAATTAACCAAGAAATCTTGGATTTTATAAAAGAAAAATGGTGGATGACCTTACAGTTCTAATGAATTTTGTGTTCATAAAATGTCCACAGCCAGCCCAGCATTTAAAATCTGCATGACAATCAAAGAGAGTGGATAAAATGCACATGTAAAAAAAATGATATAATTTGAAAAAACAGGTCACACTACTTACTAAAATATCTGAAACCATTTGTACATAATACATGCTAACATAGTGATTCTCTAACTATAAAGCTTATATGGATTAGTTAACAAGATAAAATGTCTGATTATAGATACACATATTAAGCATAAATAATTTGCGCATCTTTTAGAAGGTTAGTGAAGTTCTATGTGTATCTCACAGTTTTTGACTGTGTTAAGCAACATACATTTAGTTTTAATATTTTGGTTTGTGAAGGAGTGACCTCAGTGAACTAAATGAATGGCTTCCCGTCACCTTGCTTTTTCTTATACTACTAGTATTAAGTATTATGATGCATAGTTACTGGAAATGCATGTGTAGACTTGCTGAGGAAATTCTGTTGAAGTACATAAAAAATAGTTGAGCATATACCTAATATAGTATTTAAAACTTTCTAGGCAATTTATGTTAGCTGGTAATATGGAAAACAGGATTTTAGGCTATATAAATAAAAATGTTAAGTGTAAATCAAAGGAAGTCATTGGTTCATTCCATAATGGGCTCATTAGACCTCATTTGGAGTAGTGTTCAGTTTTGATCCCCTCATTTAAGAAAGATTCTTGGGTTGTTGGAGAGACTTCAAAGAAAAGCTGCCAGACTAACTTCGGATATGAGAGGGTTATTACACAAGAGATGAGTTGAAAGCTCTTGATATGTTTTTGTTGGAGAACAGAAAAGCTCAGAAAAGGAATAACTGATGATTTTAACACTGTTAGATGTTTGCAATCCATGAACACAGATGATATTTTAAAAAAATATGTTGACAGTAAGAATATAGAACACACATTTGAGGTATGGAATACTCAAACATGGCTTTAATTAAAGCAGTGGTAATTTTTTTTTTACCAAGTAGTCAACATGAGGAATAGTTTGCCTTCAGATGTGGTAGAAGCTACAACGAAAAAATTAAAATTGGATGATTATTTTGAAGATCAGGGTTAGATATAAGAAAAAGAGTTTATTTGTTTAAAGTTTGGTAGAAAATTAGGTAATCTTAAATGGGCCAAATTACCTCATTTCTTGTAAATAAAATTAAAATGGGATAGTCTAGAAGGGTCAAGTGCCCCCTTGTTATCCCTTGGAAATAAAATAACTTTGTTTACAGACATGTATAATTCCTATTTTTGTTTGTGTAACTAAAATATTTAGCTATCAGTTACAATATAAAAGCATTTTGCAATATACAAGGCTAAAAGGCTTAGATACAAATACAGAAAAATATATTTCTAGCCATTTAAGTTAATTGCCAGTAAAAAATAAAGAAGCTTAAGTGAATGTGATAACCAAATGTTCAGTTATTAATCACAACACAAAAATCAAATACAAAGTCATCCAACTTTCATAGGACACCGGTAATTCTCAGAACTATAAAAAAACCTCTTGTCAACCAATTTGAATGAAATCATTCACTTTCATATGCTAATGCAACATAAATAATTCAGCACACATATCAATATTAGGTAAACTATTCCACAACTGCACAAGTTAACATCTCTAAGTCTAACTAACTTAATAACTAATTAAAATAAATTCTGCCAAAATCTAAGCGTTGGTCTCTAAATGGCATGTCAATGCCAGTGATTTCATCATACCATATCTTCAGACAGAGAAAAATACTGCCAAAAGTCTAGGTTTTGGTTTAGAAATGGCTTATCTAATCAGTAATCAGTGGTTTTGGTTTTAAAGTCATGTACTGTACTTTTATCACCAAAATTTAAAAAAAAAACATGAAATTTTCTTAGTTGTATTTATTAATGCTAACAGTAACGATGTAAAATATTAACTTATCATAAATAACTGCAGTCCACAGTACAGAATAATTCCACGTCAACACTAACTTAAATTTAGAAACTTAGGGCTAGGACCAGGATTTAACATTAAGTTTAACGAACTGAATCATAGTTACTTTATGATATTGACAGTATTTATTTAAATTTAATTAGTATGGATATGATGCTTATGAATTAAATTTAATTAAAAATAATAGTAAAAACGTTGTAAGTCACCCGAATAAACAAACCTTTCTTTCCGGCCATTACGGTAATAAAGTAATAAGTTATCGAATATGAAAGTTTGCAATTACAATTTACAGGTTTGAACACTTAATGTCAATCCTACGTTCTTGTTCACAGGTCGAGCTGATGGAGAAACGCTATAAAAAAAAAAATATATATATATCGCTTGCTCTACCCAACGTTAAAAGCCTACATGGTAGCCACCTAGTATCAAAATAAGAAAATTCATTTTGTTCCGTCTATTTACGATAAAAAAATATAACAAAGTTTAAAGCTAATAATGGTTGGAGACGGATTGAATGAGTAATGAAGAAAAACTTTAATATAAGTTTTAACATAACATCAAATGTACAACGTTCCGACAAGGTTTTGTCATCATCAGGTTTTTCTTTATTACACATTCAAGACGTCTCCAGCCATTATTAGTCTCAAAGTGGGTTCCTCGTCACTGAAAGTTTAAAGCTATTTAAGAAGCATTTTACTGCATGAACCTTCCAAAGCATCACGAATTTAGGAACTATTATCGTGTTTACGTGGACAGAACACTTATTATATTACCGTCGATCTAATTTACCCTTTTGTACTTTTAAAGTAAATATTGAATAATTGACAGATAATTCTATGTAAATCAAAATTTATCCTCTAAAGCTGTGTTCTTATCAGACCTCAAATGACATATAAAGGCCCAGTCTGCTTCGAGTTGTACAGAAAATCATTCTAAAATTTTTAGGTTTATATAATTACAGGGATTTCAAAACTAGCCGTCTAGCTACTAAGTTCAGTGACATTAATATTTTGTTTTAATTTGTTTAATAAAAATAAATTGTTACATTAATTGTAAAGATTGCTCACAAGTGGCTCTCATAGGTACTGATAAAGATTGAATAAAGCTGGTGAAAACATTCAAAATACTAAAATCTCGGAGGTTGTTATTCAAAATTACAGACAATTAAATGGCGTAAAGCAAAAGTTGTTAGACAATTTATGAGTGGCGTGGATATGGGGAAAACAGTATGTAAAGAATTAGATATAATAGGAGTTATTTAGATTTTTTACAGGTTTCAGTTTTAAATAGACAATTTCATTTTATGTTGAACAAAATGCAAGCCAGCTAAACGATGTTTCAGAACTATATTTTATTCATTCTTTTACCTTATGTTCAGACGCATTATTTCCGCACTAAAGGGAAACACTCATAAATTCCTGGACGAACTTTGTTGTTATTACTGATTCGTGTATCTAACACTTCTCAGGATATACATTTCATACAATACTGGATTCTTAACCTGGTCGTACTAATAAGGCGAAATTTTAAGCTCGATTTCTCTTATGCCCCCCCCCCCCGTGATGTAAACTAATATTCAAAGAAATAACATTCAGTATGTCTGCGGACTTACAACGCTAGAATCCGGGTTTCGATACCCGTGGTGGGCAGAGCACAGATAGCCCATTGTGTAGCTTTGTGCTTAATTATAAGCAAACTCTTATGGGTGAGAAAATTCACATATTTGAATACTTAGAAATTTTGTGAAGGAATTGAATTTGTAAGTATTTGTTTGTTGCAAAACATAAAGCTACACAATGAGCTATCTGTGCTCTGCCCACCGCGATTGTCGAAACTCGATGTTTAGCCTTATAAGCCCACTGATTTACGCTGAGCTACCGGGGATATTGGTCAGTTAGTTGTGCTTAATTATTGCAACATCAATTAGGTCTAACTGCAAAATAATTCTGAATGTTAAAACCCAAAATATATTTCATCTAAACTGAAATGACAACAACGACAGGATAGAGGTAATCGTGATATTGAAAATGCCAAGAGTTCCATATACTTGAAAGGAAACTTCTTAATTAACCCAGAAACACTGGCAGCGCGTTATGACGAGATTACCACCAAATATAATACCGTTGTGGAGATTAAAAATTGGACTTAAATAATAATAAAAAATATATAAAGTGACAAATAAAAAGACAAAAAAACATTAAAGTACATGGGCCCGTTAGCTCAGTTGGTTAGAGCGTCGTGCTAATAACGCGAAAGTCGTGGGTTCGATCCCCATACGGGCCAGTGGTTATTGTTTTTTGGGTTTCATTAAAAAAAATTCTGTTACAGTAAAATTACAAACGCATACCATACTGAAAATCATCGTCAAAATGAAACTAAAATTTATAAGATACGCTGTCGGTTGGTGAAATTAGAGAAGGTTACTACATTTTGTCAATATCTTAAAATAAGAAATATTTAATGACTGAACAAAAAAATCTGTTTATCACAAAACAATAATGTTAAAACATTGTCAATACGAAAGCAAAACTGTACAAAAACACACCAGAATCTAATAAACAATTATAAACAGTGTATTAGAATATGTTCTAAATAAAGGAATATCACCACACAGCTACGTGTCAGCTCAGTTAATAACATCGCAAACTGATTCAAAATCTTTACACTTCATGTATTCTTGAAGACTACAAACAAAAGATAGAAATACACTAGAGAAAGACCATAAGACGTGGAATTTTTTTTTGCCAGAGATATTGTACTTATAGATAAGATAGGTGAAAACTCGGGCTGCAAGATAAAGATTATTTTATAGTAGTTGGAGTACCAGTCCCCTGGACGGAAGTTATGTAAATTCATGATTAACGAAAGGTTATCTTAGTACATGAAAAATTGCTTTCCTCATATGTAATTGTAAAAACTGCAAAACACAAAATGTGAAACCACAAATTTGCATGTATCTCTGTATGGACCCACCAAACCTTCGTGCCAAATTTGGTGAAGACCCATCCAAAGGAGGTGAGGTAGTGGTAAAAAACGCCCATAATAACCGCAAAACTGAAAATTTGTATCTATCTTCCCATGGCCCTAATGAATCTCCATACCAAATTTGGTGAAGACCCATCTTGCGAAGTAGTTACATGAACATACAGCATACAACAGACAGTACTATTATATTTGTATAGATATTGCGTAAGTATTCCAAATGTTTAAAAGGACAAACTAAATGACCTATCAGACAGATTAATTTATATGTGGGTGTGCAATACACGAAAGCAGAACGGATATTTGAACAGGTACCTGGTCAAGTAAATTCATTCAAACGTGAAGGTACGATAGTTAAGCCAAAAAAGATTACCCGCTTTTTAGCGTTGTAAGTCCGCAGACGTACCGCTGTGCCACTGGGGGACCTAATCCAACTGTACAGGAGCTGAATTCTCCACCTTGCAATAAATGGCGATAGATGACGCTAAAGTCAAGATGTCGCACTAAGTAGTAAATCTAAACTCTTTTTTTATATGACGGTAAAATGGGTGCTAGAGCGATATTAACAACGTATAGTTCATTAATAGTTTGAGAAATCATTGTTGTAAAATATTTTGGTCGTGATATCTGAATATTTTTGATGTAAACTAATATTCAAAGAAATAACATTCAGTGATTAATGTCTCAAGTTTTTATTAACTACCTTTTTATTATTGGCCTCCCAGTGGCACAGCGGTATGTCTGCGGACTTACAACGCTAGAAACCTGGTTTCGATACTGGTGGTGGGCAGAGCACAGATAGCACGTTGTGTAGCTTCGTGCTTAACCAGCCTTTTTATTAATCTCGAACATCATCCTTTTATTCTGAAACAACGTGTACATATAGTGTTCACTTACCTTTTTTTTTTCACCACTTTATCAAATAAAGATTGTCCTCAGCACAAGAAACTTTCAAACACCCTACTATTTATAAACTATACCTTTAGATTTAAATAATACAAAACGGGAGAATCGTATCAGTTAAATATACGTATTTCTTGGGTGTCATGACATTAATTAATTATATATATTTACGTAACAAAAATTATAGACATATTTTAAATCAACTTAACTGACATTAATTTCCTAAAATATCGATGATAACAAAATAAAGTAGTAACAATGTCGCACATTAGATGGCGATAAAAATGAAAGACGTTTTTCTAGTATACTAATATTTCCCAGTGGTAGAACGTATTATTAGAATAAAAACTGAAATCACCGCCTGCGGGAATTCTAAACTAGAAACTAAATCCTTCTATATTACATACTATATAACATTTCCTATTTAACTGCGTCTATTAAAGATATTAATGTTTATTTTCATTAATCGTTCAGGATGATGCATTTCATTTGATAGAATGAAGTGTCAGAATGTTGCTGTCAATACAACTTAATGCTTATACTGGCTTTAAATTTTTTCTTCATATTTAATTTCAAATGGAAATCGAACTTTTTTGTTAAAGTTAACTAATCACAATTTCAAACTAATGAACTTTTATGGTCTTTATTTAGTATTCGAATAACACGGAAGACAGAAAAGAGTTGTTAAGACATGGAAATACACAAACGAAAAAAACAAGTTTGTTTGTTTGTTAAGGAATTTCGTGCAAAACTACATGAGGGATATCTGCGCTATCCGTCTCTAATTTAGCAGGTAAGACTAGAGGGAAGGCAGCTAGTCATCACCATCCACCGCCAACTCTTGGGCTACTCTTTTATCAACGAATAGTGGGATTGACCGTCATATTATAACGCCCCCACGGCTGTAACCACCCTAACCACCTAATTAATAAATAGGGGCGGCTCCAGAAATAATAATAGTGAGAGGTGGAATGTGGGGAGTAGAAACAATACGAAAATTTTGGACTTAATGCTAGGGGCCCGGCATGGCCAGGTGGTTAGGGCACTCGACTCGCAATCTGAGGGTTGCGGATTCGAATCCCCGTCACATCAAACATGCTCGCCCTTACAGCCGTGGGGGCGTTATAATGTGACGTTGATAAAAGAGTAGCCCAAGAGTTGGCGGTGGGTGATGATGACTAGCTGCCTTCCCTCTAGTCTTACCTGCTAAATTAGCAGATAGCCCTCGTGTAGCTTTGCGCGAAATTCAAAAACAAACAAACAAAAACAAACTTAATGCTCGACAACTAAGAATAACCTCATTTTTGGTGTTTTAGTAGTTGTTGTCTCTGAAGTCAATATCTTGAATGACCTATACTATAAATACATTAATTCTATGTCATGACTGACCCATACTATAAATACATTAATTCTATGTCATGATTGACCCATACTATAAATACATTAA